TCAAACCGCATACAGTGACTTTGCCTATGCACGCAAACGTATTTTTCAATCCCTCTGCTCTTAGGTTCGTGGTAACTGTACATTCAAAACAAGAGACACTTTTGTTTACCCGAAAACTGTATTCTGCAGAACTGTAAGAGATTCCCATAGGCTTTGAAAGGTTTGGAAGGATTCTCGCGGTGCTTATGCGAACCCGGTGATGCGCACTTTTCAAATCAAGCCTACCATGTACGGCATCATGTGAGATCTTCTCCACGATTGCATCGATGCGTGGTCGTGGATAAGCGTCTAGCCGTGTGAAGCGGTTGACCACAGCTAGCAACTATCAGCTCCTTGTGTTTGGCTTTTCTCGTGACGAGGACTTAAACCCCTTCAGGGAGAGTTCTCCTACCTAATTTCATCTAAATTTCTTAGCAATTGATTTAAGATCAGAAGAGAACTGAGTGAACGGTAGAGGTAATTGAATTTCGGCGGCGGACTTCCGCAGAGCGAGACGAGGTCAAGTTCGCCACTGAGTGGTATATCTAGTTTATCATGTAAGCCAAGGAAATAGTGACCAAGCAATACCTCGGTGCACAATTTGCGCAATGCTGTAATTTGTATGTTTTTTCAACAGATTTTCTGGTATCGATTATAGATGTTGGAATAACCAGTTATAAGATGGTACTTTTACAGTCACACGGGGAAGATTTCCAACAGCGGGCCACTAATATTTATCACTGCCTGAGGTTTAATTCCAGCAACGAAATCGGTGTTAGTGGCACGGGGCCCAAAAACAAATGAGGTGGGGAAATATGTGGAACTATGAGCGGATTTAATAGGCGGAAAGGCTGGTTTGAATTTACACGCGCTTGAAGTGTCTTGTTTTTCCACAGGCTTTGCAAAGAGCGTCCTCAGTGAGACACTTCGTTCGGGGTTGTTTCGAATAGTCACACAAATAATTCGTGTCTTTCGAAGCCCCTTGGGTTGATGATATGCGTGGTTTGAGGGCGCGTCTTCTGCCCGCATGACTGCGATTGCTTTTGGATGATTTCTAGGTACCTTGGCATATCGCATACAGTTTGGAAAGTTAACGATGTTTGTTCCATTAGCCTCGTGAGGTCGCTGAACTGGAGCCTAGTCAGTAATGTGTCGTCAGAGTATTCTTCGTCTGCAATGACCCGAAAATTACAGTTTTTAGCGAGTGTTTTGATGTTTTGCTCTAACTGATCAATGTTTTGTCCTGAGTCATGCTTGAATGTAGAAAGGAAATATCAAGGCAAAGCAGTGTGTTTGGGACGACCGCACAATAAATTCGAAAAGGTAGAGCACGTTGTCAACCGTCTTCCTTTCAGCGGTGTTTTCGTAGACGGAAGGTGCCAGGAAGTTAATGAGCAAGTCTAAGTTGTTTCTGTGTCTACAGATTGAATACGTTTTAAAGACACCAAACGTGCCTAACCAGAGAGCCACTTTTTCCAAGACGTTCGGATCGATATAGAATTTATTTGGTCGAAGGTGATGGTACATTGTTAGATGAGAAAATGTAACCGCTATACAACACAGCAACAAATGGGCTTGTGTGAGAGAGAGGAGATTCGTATTCAAGTTAGTACACCTTATTATTCTATGAACTAAAATAACAAAGGAACTCTGTAGAACGTACAGTAGGCAATGGTGTTTAAATATGAAAACCCGATTTATATAAACCTTTTACTTTAGGTACCTTAGATCACTGTCTGATATTCGTAAAATGGTTTTTACCACCCTGTACCACCTGTACCTGCGGAAAGTTATGATGCACGGAATAAATGCACACAATTTGGACGTTGAAATGATACACAAATGAGTTCGAGTTCTTTTTATTCCTTCTCCGGCCGTATTTATGTTTAGGGGTTTTAAGGGTGTGTTTATTGCAATAAAGTTGTCTGTTTTAACCATATTTGCGCATACATTAGCTAATTTGGTCTTCTTACCTATAAGATCTGTCGCTAACCTTGGTAACCAGTTTCTGTTATCTCAGTCGTTAAAAACGGAGTGAATTAAAAGTGTTGCATAGAATATCATTGAGTT